CATTTTAAGTAAGGGGTTCCAATTTTTTTGCATCACCCTGTATAGGATGCATATTGAGGTTACCGTTGTGTTAGGATAAATCAGTTTCACGTACGGAATCGAACATGTATAAGATACAAAGACAAAGAGTTGCAGTATCTTCAGTGCGAAGATGGAAAGCCACTTAGTTCGAAGCGTGAGAAGAACGTGATTTGCGAATAGTTTGATCAGTACTCACCGATGACTCTGAATCGCTCCGCTGTAAAAGTCAAAAAGTCATCAGTAAGCCGTTTTACATAGATAGCGCCAATTCAGAAAGTTAGGCAGTAGATTCAGGATGATATTTCCCCATTATCAATCATTCAAGCGATGTTTTATAAACGCCGACACTTCCTTCAATCGATGACCGATATGCAATGCCTGCCTAAGAACTCTGATCCTAGGTTCTATCTGCAGCCTCAATTCACCAGTGACCTCTGACCCCAGCGACCCTGACCTCCGCTGTCCACTGACCTGCAGAAGTGAGTTCCTGGTGCTGGGTCTCCGCAGCGGTGTGTCCAGGGTCACCGAGAAGTGACCTCCCGCCTGTGAGTTCCGCACCAGGGGCGCTGGCTGGGAGCGACTCCGGCGGCGCTGTTCCACCACCGCCTTCCCGACCACCGCCGCATGGCCGGCGTGCATCGCGCCGGGTCACCAGAGGTCACCAGGGGTCACCAGAGATCACTACAGGTCACCATGTGTCTTACAAGATTACCAGCCGTCACCAGAGGTCACCGGAGTCACTACAGGTCACTAGTAGTAACCAGGCTTCACCGGAGATATCGAACTACGCATCCAGGTCTCTAGAGTTTGTCAGAGGTTGTAGCAGGTCAACAGAGGTCAGTAAAGACCATCAGAGGTCATCAGAAGTCTCCGCGTGGCACTGTTCATCACAGATGACTTTTTATTCTCAGGATCACAAGAGAGTCACTACACAGCAGCATTACAGCATAATGTACTGAATTGGTGGCGCTGCGCATTCGCCGATGGCGCGGAGGGATTCCAAAGGTCTGTATGAAAAGGCCTGTCCAATGCAGAATAGGCGCTGGCATGACGATGCTTCACTGCATCAGCGAAAGAAACGCAGCCGCCGTCACTCGCAGTTTTCTGTTCGTCACCGGTCAATAGCAGCTCACGTGACCTTTTGCTCACGATAAAATGCACCGATCGGCTTACTCGTAGGAAGAAAAATACTAGCGCTACTGCTAGAAATATTATCACTGACTAGTGGAGAAGGCTGACTTGGAGAAAAGTGTTCACCGTGCACTAGAAGCCGCTGTGACGAAGCCTGTTGCTGCCTTGTGGAAACTGTTGCATCTTTAACGAGGACACCGCTGTCACCACTGCCATGGGAGCGTTCAACAACGATGGCATTGTTCACTTTTAGTCAAAGAGTGTCACCACCGGGGCCTTGTCCACCGCTGAACACACGAAGGGTGTGGTGGGGTGAACTTTTCACTTCACTTTCACCTCCACTGGATATACGAGAGTAGTCTAACGAGCAGAGTCTACCTCGTAGAGCAGCCCACCGCGCTGTGTAGAGACTCGGCGGGCCACGACCCACACTTCTCACTGGGGTCCCCCAGACGCCACTGACCGCGACCTGCCACTGGCCACGACCGACCTACCTCCGCCCAGCTGTGCACTCCCAGTGTCCCCTCACTGTAGGCGCAGCCTCGACCAGTCGGCACCGGTACCGCGTGGCACGCCAGCCCCCCCCCCCAACCCGGTCCCCTCAGGGAGGGGGTCGCCGTGAACCATCGACCGGTCAAGGAAGTGACGCGTCCGACGGGCGTCATGGCTGGCGGTTCGACGGTTCCGGCGAGGACGACCGCCTTCATTGAACGTGGGGAGGGGCGGGGCACAGGTACTGGTCGGCCAAACAAACGCAGACGGATAGACAAACAGACAGACAGACAGAGAGACAGAGAGACAGACAGACAGACAGACAGACAGACAGACAGACAGACAGACAGACAGACAGACAGACGAGCAAACGGGCGGGCAGACAAACAGACAGACACACAGACACACAGACACACAGACAGACACACACACAGACACACAGACACACAGACAGACACACAGACACACAGACACACAGACAGACACACAGACAGACACACAGACAGACACACAGACACACAGACACACAGACACACAGACAGACACACAGACACACAGACACACAGACACACAGACAGACACACAGACACACAGACACACAGACAGACACACAGACACACAGACACACAGACAGACAGTGTCCAGACAGATAGATAGGCGGCCTTGAATATGATTAATCTTAGGCAATTGAACTAAATAACAAACTTAATTTGAAATTAAGCCTGCTTCTTGAAAGCCAAAATGCAATTTCGCAATACGTGAGTCCATTCTGTGAAACCCTCGCATTCAGAAAGAATCGTTGTGGCTCGCAAATCGCAATGTTTCAAGTACCTACTTATTTCATTCCAAAACATGTCTGTTGACCTGTTTGTGAGAAACTCAGCCAGGCGGACTGAAAGATAGCGAGGCTGGCGTAAAAACCCGGCTTGAGATAATGTATGCGTTATGCGGACATAGACACGTTAGCCCGTGCTGAAAGCAGCGACTATGAGGAAACTGGTTGAATCTCTGGTCTAGGAGGTTTTCGCTGTTGTAAGTATACAACTAGTTGGAAGGAGACGGGTCTGTGCTTTACTCTTGCACAAATTCGTCTGAAAGACCTAACGTATAATAATAGGTAGAAATTAGTAGCAGTCCCTCCCAAAATGAATAAGAAAAGTTTTCTCTGCACCAGATCGCACCATTGGAGTTTGTCTTCCACGCTCCACGCTAAATCACTTCTGCACTCGATGAAAACAAATATCCCTCTTTGTACTATACCAGCGCAGAAAACAGCTGTTTCTAGCTGCACAGCACACCGAAGGATATCACTCCCCCCCCCCCCCCCCCATTTGATGGCGTAACACCCCCTGGCATCCGGTGTGGATCAGGCCGGCGACAGTGTAAGTGGATTGACCGGGTCACCGGCCGGGGTGGGTCTGCAAAGACAGGTCGGTCCGGTCGGCCGCTAGTGCGGTCGGCGTGCCGACCTCGGCCCGCTCTCAGCGAGAGAAGACGCTGCGGTTTCTCTCGGCGACGCGGCACAGGTTTAGAGAGTACGGCTTGTGTGTCTCACAGGGCTGTTTCGGAGACGACATGTGACTGGTAGGATGGGATGGAGTGTTGGGATACCAGATCCTGCCAGCTCCTTGGTTTGGCAAATATTAGACCATCCTTGCTCTCGTCTCTTACTTTTCTTGCTGTGTGGTTTACCTAGATTGGGCCAAATCCTTGTCACGAGTGATTCAAAACAGTCGCCAGACGTGATCTATATTGAGCCATTCAACAGCGACCACGGAATATTTGAGATTGAATCACGCATCACGAGATCCAGAAGTTTGGCTAGTCCGGCTGAGAACCAGCGCTTACCCGTTGATTCAGTTTCTAATTTCATCACTGATTGCTCGGGTACCGGTGACTAGTTATTTCTCCAACTGCACGAGGGTTTTGAGATAGTTTAACCTGGTTAATCAGCACGGCTAAGCAGCCAGATTGGCTTCTCTAAATCAGCAGTCGAATGCGGTGGACACGTGACTAACCCGTTAGTTGAGAATCGCCTGGACACGTCAGTGACCAGTTGTACTAGGTAAATACCAGTTTCCATTTGTTACCATGGTTCTCAGCACTTGCACAACTTTTTCATTGATGTCACAGAAAATGTGTCACGGTGTTGCAAGCCCTGCTGGGTGTTTTTATGGCATTTATTGAGGCTAAATTTTGCAACCTAGTCTGATGCTGCGTGATGAACGTGGTGCTACACTAATCATTATACCTCAGGGGAAGAGATTAGGGACAATGGTGGTTTTTCGTTGAATGCTTCACCCACTTATTAATAGTCGCATGTCAATGTCATACTTTACAGTTTAATTGATAAAACGGAACGATCAAACGGAACATCCTCTCAAAAGCATTATACGCTAAGGCAAGTTAGAGGCCGGGATGAACTACGTGCATAATGAACTACTAATGTCAAAAATATTTGCTAAATAATACGATGATTAGACTTTTCCTAGAGAAGCATTAAGCACATCCTGTGACAATATTGAGACGGACACAACTAGAGATGTCAATCGGATACCAACTTTTTGGTATACCGATACCAAACCGATACCAACTTGGTATTTGGTATTTCAATCCTAATGTTTTTGGTATTTTATTGGTATTATGAATGCTCGCTAATGTATAAGAGCCTGTGAATTTGGTAAAAAGTTGGTATTTCCGGAATATTCCTAAGTTGGTTCGGTTTCGGTATTTTCCCATGGTTTGGGTTGGTATTTGGTTTGGTATCGGTATCCTGATTTTCTGTAATTGACATCACTAGACACAACACATTTGGGTGGACGCGTTTCGACAAGAGACTTCTTCAACACCCCTTCAGAAATGGAAGCAATGCAAGCACACACAAGAAGCACAAGAAGCAATACAAGCACACACACTTCCATTTCTGAAGGGCTGTTGAAGAAGTCTCTTGACGAAACGCGTCCACCCGAATGTGTTGTGTCCGTCTCAATCTATACATTTGTCTCTTACTACTCAACATCCTGTGACAAAAACGGTTTCCATTTCTTAAACAGTTACGGCTCCAGGGCCTTCTGGCTCCTGCAAAAAAGGTCCATGATAGATATGCAATGATAAAATAGCTGCATGATAAGCATACAAAACGTGAATTAGGTCACAATGCATTAAAGGTCAACAATGCTGATCACTTGCAACTATACATATATGTAGTTGTTAAAAGAATATGTATTATCAAAATTGTACCACACAGGTGAATTCCAGATGCCGAAAAATGAAAGAAATCGGTATTTGACTTCTGTTTTAGAACAATGTTTGGGTGAGTTGGGCAATATATGAGTAATATTCTAAGATGCGTTGATGTTTGTGAGCAGATCTGATTTTAAATTTTATTTCTTTTCTTGGCAAACTTTCAGTTTTCGGAAGCCAATGACATCTTTGTAGCCCTCCACTTTTGGGAGGTGATGTTCGATTATAACGTGATCCGACAGCACGGCCCTCAATAGTTTCCTGTTTCTGAAATTTGATTTTCAACTAAGGCTTTGGAAAATAAGCAAATAAATACCTACCTATCTATCGGTTGAAAATCGGATGTGAATAATACCCAGAAATCAACAAAAACCTGTTCATTGTTCAATCGCACCAACTGGCGTTGATGACGTCGCCTGACTCACAAACAACAAATTTGGTCAACTCAGTGACATGACCACCGGCCCTGCCGGCTCTGCATCTCAGTCACTGACCAGCCTAGTGGCCATATGCTTCATTCAGCGCGGCTCCCGCCTACCCGCCGGCGCCGCGGCGGTCAGGTCGCGAGGTGCGGCTCGTCGCTCGCGGCCGGCCGGCGGGCGAAAGTGACCGCGCCGGCCAGCCTGTGACCGGCGGCCGGTCGGCCCTGCGAGTCTACCTCCGGCTCTGGTGGAGGGAGATCAGAGGGGGGCGGGGGGCCGACTGGCGGAGCCGGTCACACGGCCGGGCCGACCGCAGACACCGCAGTTCCATTGGAGAGCTGGAGGAGGTGACACCGGAGCACGAGACGCACCAGGAGCGGGCAGCGTCCGCGGCATCCGACCTGCGGGACAGCGGGGTCACTAGCCCACTTCCAGCCAACGCCTGGGGTCATTGGCCACCCTCGGCCACCTCGTAGCCTCACCAACGGCCTCCACTTCATCCAAAAACGTCATCAACAGTCACAAGTCCACCCAGAGCACCGCCAGCCCCCATTAGTACCCGACAAGCGTCATGCACGCCATGGAGTCCCTAATGGAGATTGGACGCGGTCTGGCGAATCGGCGCGACCCCCGCTTGCGAGACTACATCATGCAGTCGTCCTGCGTGCCCCTGACGGCGGCCATGGTTGCCTATTTGGTGCTCATCTCGTATGGACCGCTGTTCATGAAGAACCGGCGCTCGCCGCCCCTCAAGCGCGTCATGACTCTCTACAACATTGGCCAGGTGAGATGGGTCTTCAGGAGTGGCGAGCTCTTTAGTTATCTAGTTAATGTAAGTTTGATCAGTGTTTATATGTAGTCATTTCAGATCATCATCATCACGATCATAATAAAAAGTAATTAAAAAGTCAGGAAAAGTAAGAACTGGTGCAAAAGCACCCAAAAGCACTAGATGTGACTGCTCCTAGTTTCTTCATTGTTGGAGTGAATTCAGATTGCAAGAACATACGGAATTTAGGGTTTTTCACATAACCTTTATACAAAGCGCTTATAGTTTACTCAGCCAATGATTTATATTACATACGTTCATTAAAACACGCTTTGAGCGGTACAGGCTTTGGCATCAGCGCTGGCTTTTCCTGAGCGACTTACATAAGAACACCCAACAAGGAATATCTCGTGGAATTATGCACATCATCTTCACCATATCGGTTCCGCTTGTGAACCAATTGCGTGGCATAGCTGAGAGGATTTATCTGCCTCAGCTGCGCTCCATCTTAGGTTGCGTGCTAGTCGAAGGCTTACACCTGAACAGGATCGTTACCGCCCCAATACCGTGCAATGCGCATATTCTGTCTATCGCCTGGCCGACCTGAAACATTTGCTCATTGCTGCCAGATATTTAACTTTTTTCATTGTAACACAAAGCAAAGCAGCTGAATAGTGTAGTAATGCGTCCTTGTGCCAACAAAATATCATCAGTAAATGGAATGTTTGGATGCATGTTGCAACACAATGTAAGTTAGGATTCGTAGGTTGCCAGTAAGCCATTATTGTAATTGTTTGTGTCATTCCCTACCATTCATTTCATTCATTCATAATTTCATTTGACAGCCTTACATATTGAAGGTGGCTGGCACCTTTCTTGTTTATAAGTGAGACAAGATAAGCAAAGCACATTGCACACTGCCAGGGCTGCACATCGCCCTGCTTTTTTCACATACCTACTGAGGAAAGAACTTTCGTATGTTGCGAGAAACGAACGAGTCGTAATCTTGGATCATAAAAACTCAGGCGCATGGGACCTTCCTTCGAGCAGGCGCATGGAAAGTCGGCTCGGTGGCTTACAAAAAAAAGAGCTGCACCCAGTTAAAATCGTGTCTATGCTATCTCCCACCTCTCAAGGTCACTGCACTGACAACAAAATGCAGACTTTGTGGGTTAGAAATATGGATAGGCCCACAACAAAAGTATTCACACCGTGGCGATAACTGAACGTTACAGCATGAGGCCCGTCAAATATGCATAGTTGCCGGATTTGGTAAAAAGTAAGCGGAGCAGCCACTTCACTTCCCATCTCTTGTATTTGTGTTTAACTTTTTTGCACAGCAATGTTCGAGGTTAGGAAATGGTGTAAGGTGTAGACACAAAGACGTAAATATAAATACTTATACCGATAGACACCTATGTAGCGTTGTTGGGGCTGCCTGAATAATGAATATCTTTGGCCTCTCCCCCTCCCCACAACATATGTATTATGTACAGAAATGCCATCCCTTGGAGTTCCGTGTTTACGTTCGTGTCAGGTGGTCAAAACCAGAGCGAAACCCCAGAACCAACCCCTCCCCTCACAGGCCGCCAGCTGACTGGGATGGTAGGCTGTGCCGCCCAACACGCAAGCTATGCGGCGCAGCGTATTTCGCGCCCTCCGCTTACCGCAAATACGTTTAGCCAGCGTGGAAAGTGACGCTGAGGCATGCCTTCCTTCTATTCTAGTCAACTGGTGGTTTGTGGAAGATGGAGCCTCTTTCTGTAGTCTACGTAGTGTAGATTACATGTGCGATTCAAATTTAGTCGCTGTTAGATTACAAAATAATAAGCACTGCTGCTAAATGCGTACCACATTGTTCGGTAACCGGAAGCAGAACTGTTGTGAAAAGTAGCAATGCAGTATGATGTATGTATAGTATGATGATAGCAATGCAGCAGTCCTCTGGACTGCTCCAGAAGACTTCAACTCGCCATCGGTTAATCTTCTCAGTCATTATCATTATTTGTGGCTTTGGATGATGTCAGCCCCTAAAATATGTTGTTGGTGACCTTTGTTGCAACACTAAACTGGACTTTTACGTAAGACTCTTTTTGCTAATTGGGAGCGCAAATTATCTGCGTTACTACTTGTAGGCTAACTTATCATTTTGGATTTCCCGTGACGTAAGATAAGGTCATTTGATGTTAGAAGGTCGGAAAAGACACCAATTAGCTTGAGCATAAGCTGCGGAATAGAACTACATGCAGCATGACCTCCCTCCGTCAACTTTCTGAGTAGGTAATACTTTCTTAAGCTGCATTTGACCTGAGGTTTACATCCAGGTAAAACCTTTCTCAATCAATACGACTATAATCTGACCGAGCCTGACATGAAAAATGATTACGGAGCGAGCGAAGCGAGCGGAGTCTTTCCTTAGATTAACGGAAATTTCTGAGTATGAGCGGCCGGCCGGCCGGCCGTGGGGACGCTCTTCAAAAGCTAATATCTTAGGAACGGGACATCCGATTGACAAGCGGTCTTCTTTACTGAATGTCACTTGGACGTAAAAGTTCTGTGGTGTGATGGCCACCATGCGTTCTTGCCAACCACCGCACGTGGCGCGTGGTAAAGTTGGACATTTTTTAAGAACCCCCAAAATTGCAACCTCAATAACGGCACAACGGTTGGGCCGATTGAATTGAAACTCGGTAGACAGTTAGGTCTCCATCAGATAATTCATCTGCATGTGTTAAGGTTGGGGTGCTGCTGCACGTGCGCACGTGCAGGGGTCGTTTCCAGATCTCGAGAACGGCTGGACCGATGGCGCTCAAATTTGGTACACGGTTAGGGACCAGTTAGTAGGGTGCCGTGCACAAGTCAGTTGGGACCCATTTTGCACGTGCGCACGTGCAGGGTGCCGCTTCCAGATCTCGAGAACGGCTGGGCTGATTGTGCTCAAATTTGGCACATCGCTAGAGACCGGTTAGTAGGGTGCCGTGCACAAGTCAGTTGGAGGTACCCCCTCGAAATTTCGCACGTGCAAGGCCCACCCTCTCGCTCGCTCCGTTAGTCGCCCCATAAGGCGTTATACTGGTAATAGGAAAAGGTTTTGTTGCAACATTGCTGTCGGCGTTGTTTTCCCATACAACAGTAGCACGTTGACGTGACAACAGAAGTCAGTTGGCTCGAGACATTTGAATCGGATACCATTCGCTGCGTCTCATAGCGGCTAGCATGCCAGTTTTTACGACGTTTTATCTAGGATGGGGGGGGGGGCAGAACAGCAGGGGGTCATATGGATTTGTGCCTTATCAGAAACTGAGATTTATTCGTTTGGCTACGAATAAGAAAAGCATGGGTCAGAATAAGTATAGCCTATACATATACGAGCAAAGGTCTTACATATTTACATGTACTGACTGTGCCGTAATAGCCACTCTGTTGGAAAAGCCCTAATAAACGAATACGAATACGAATACGAATACGAATACATAAACAACATGTGTTACCATGAAGTGCCAAAATCGTTTCTGAGTAACGAAACCTTATCGTCATCAGTATCATCACGGAAATATGGATACGTTTCTTGGGTAAAAATGCATGCCTACATGTTGAAATAAATAAATCCATTAAGACTAATGGATCTAAAATATGTTCGTTTGTTGTTTTTTGAACAGGCGAGCCTATCCGTGCCTAACTTTTGTTGTTGTACATAATAAACAAGATGAGTATACCACAAAACTGATATTTTATCAAATACAGAATATCTCAGCACAGAGATTTACCACGATAATCCACGTGTTTTATTTTATCAACTTGTGTTTGCGACTCTCCCGTGCCAGGAAGAGTCTGCATCTGCGAACATGTCTGTTAGGAGTGGCCAGGAAATGTCATCTCGTCCCCGCCCACAACCAGCTCCTACTAAAACCTCGACTAGCCATCCGAGGCCACGGCATAAAGTATGCAGATAATAGGCCCATCTACACATCCTCTCTGGAAATTACTTGTCAGGATTTCAGCCGAAAATGACGGGAGATATCACCTGATGTCCTCTGTCTGGTTTATAACTCGGCTAATCGTGGTGTTTGTGTTGTTGTTAAAGGGTGAAAACATGATGTTTTTCACTTCAAAAAATAATCAAAGACAACTCACAGAAACAGATTAGCATAATGTTGTCAACTTACAAGAAATGGGCATAGCTAAATTTTGAGTAAGTGTCATGTACGCCAAGCCCATCGTATCACAAACCGGATTTTAAATTCGTTATTAGTGTTGTAATCGTTACATAACCATTTTTTACAGCCGTTTACAGGATAATCGTCTGCATTTTACACAAAAGCAAAACTTGTCAGAGGATGGCAAACAATGTCACGGTCACAGCCTCACCTTCTTGTTCTTGCATTTAGTACCTATAATTACATCGATTATAACTAGATGTTAAGGCTTAGCGAAATACCATGTTGCATTAAATAGTGTAAGGCTGAGTGAACAGGGAATTGCAAGTGTATATGTTCAACAAATGGAATAAACACAGCTCTGATGCATCCAGGATCATTCTTTCATGGATCATGGAAGATATGACATCAGTCACTTACCATAACATGTCCGTCGCTCTTCGCCCTCAAACTCCCTTTCTCTAACGAATACCATCAGTGTCCCGGCAGTTCTGTGTGAGTTTCTGCATGATGATCGAGTTCTGTCTCTAGAATCCCGCTCTCTAACGAGTGTCCTTTGTGTTCCGCCGACAGGTTTGTCTGAGCTTCTACATGATGATGGAGTTCTGGCTGAGCAGACCCTCAAACAAACTCTGCTCACCCATCGAGGTTAGTGACAACAGCAAGGCGATACGGCTGGCCAACGCCTGCTGGGTCTTCCACATCAGCAAGCTGGTCGACTTCCTGGACACGGTGTTCTTGGTGTTGAAGAAGGACAACAAGCGGCTGACCTACTTGCACGTCTACCATCACGGATCGATGGCCTTCGGCTTCTGGCTCTGCACCTTATTCGTTCCCGGTGAGAGAATAATTCGAACTCTCTTTTCTCTCATTCTCTCTTTCTTTTTCCTCTTTTCTTTTTTTTTCTCTCTCTCTCTCTCTCTCTCTCTCTCTCTCTCTCTCTCTCTCTCTCTCTCTTTCTCTCCGTCTCTCTCTCTTTCTCTCCCCCTCTGTCTCTCTTTCTTCTTTTCTCTTTTCCTTTGGCTTATTTTCTTTCTTTCTTTCTTTCTTTCTTTCTTTCTTTCTTTCTTTCTTTCTTTCTTTCTTTCTTTCTTACTTTCTTTCCTTCTTTCTTCCTTTCTCTCTCTCTTTCTTTCTCTCTCTCTCTCTTTCTCTTTCTCTCTCTCTCTTTTTCTCTCTCCTTCTCTCTCTCTCTCTTCCTCTTCTATTTAGTTCAGCTTAGTGCTGCATCTAGTATCGTTTCAAATGTGCTATGTCCTTAGCGACCTGCCCAATCTAAATAATGAATTGTCAAATCTAATTTCCAGCAGCCTCTTCGTTTGAGGCTAATGCGCTTGAAATGCTCTAACTTATCATCTCATCTTTTTCCCACCCATAGGCGGCTCTGCATGGATTGCCGGCGTCATCAACAGTTTCGTGCACTGCGTTATGTACGGCTACTACCTGCTGGCCAGCCTGGGTCCGCGCGTGCGGCCCTACTTGTGGTGGAAGCGCTACCTCACCCAGCTGCAACTCGCCCAGTTCGCCTTCATCGTAGTCGCCGCCTGGACTGTTCAGGTGAGATGATCGAGAAATTATTATTAAAGGGACACTGTATTTGTGAGAAACGCTCACTCGATATAGGGACTGTGCCGCTCAGACTTTTATCAAACGGCACTGTGTTGGTGAGAGTCGCATGCTCAAATGGCTCTGTGTTGGTGAGAGCTACTCACTCACTGTCCGAGTGAGAATTGCCTTCTCTAAAGCTGTTGTATGGGGAAGATTTAAGTACTACAGGGAAAATTTAAGTACTAAGTGCTGCAGGGGCCAAGGTAGGTGCGTTTGAGTTATAATACCTTCAATCGCACTTCTACGAAAATACCAGCCGATGAAGTAGCACTTTGCTTTAGATTAGTGGTGCCTTATACACAAGCTCTAGGGTTATTACCTTCCCAGATGACTTGCTAATTGTTTCTCATAGTCCTCCATTGTTTGTAAAAAGTCTTACACCAAGTTGATTATGTTCTCTCACTGTTCGTTGCTACGCACTTCTAGCCATGGGTACAAGATAATTCATTAGGCATAATTATTTTCAATGATGACCCAGATATGGGGCATATAAAGCAAATAAAATGTTACATAAAATCTTGCTGGAAGTTGAGCCCTAATTGCTAAATATGGAGAACTGCTGCAGAATTAAGGTCAAACATCATTCTAGCACACATTGACACAGCCTATGCCTTGTCGCACGCTTAAAACCAAAACAGCTTACCAGCAGATGTGAACTTGGCGCAATGAAAATGGCATTGAGCGAGTCATAAGTGCACCACGCTAGGATCCGGTTTTACCGAGCCTACCAGCTGTGACAACCTTGTAGACTGGTGGCGCTTGCCTCACGTAAGCCGACTCGTCTTTTTAATCACTCTGAGGTCAGCCAGCGGGCTGGGCTCCAGCCCATAGCTGTCGAGCCGGATTGACGAAATAACAGCAGTGTGTCGGCTCCCGTGAGCCCCCGTGCTGGTCGGATTTTAACGCTCTAACGTTAGTGGACGGCCTGTGTGAACGCTTGGTTTGAGTGAGAAGGTGATGGGACAAGCCTAAACGGCTGGCTCTAACTGTATGAAATGGCAAACAGGTCAAAAAGACGGTACAGCTCGTTAAACGTAAAAGCATGATGACATAGGCCACAACTCGGTTTGCTGGGCGCTGTGTGCAAAGCAGCGCTGCATTTACGGCAGCTTATAGTAAGAGCCGCTTAGGCTTTAGAGACCGGCGTGCCGCGTGGTGGTATAATGCCTGCGCTATTAACAATTAAAGAGGACAATGGCGTCGTAAGCTGTAAGAAGCCTGTCGCACAGTAGTTAGTGACCTTCGCACTATCGTCAAAAGGGCTCCCCGAACAGCAGGCTATTTATAAAATCAAATTATGACTGTCTGTACGGAGGGCTAATGCTTGTCCAAGGCCGCCCGCCTCTGAGAAGAAAACTCTTTGACCTTCTCATGATATTGTTTGTTTTATAATGCTGGGAAATTCGGCGAAGAATTATCGCTGAATTCGGTAGCATAACGTCAGCACCGCAAACAGAGTCTGAGATAATATATAACTATCACCGTCATCACCGGTAAATCACGTCGCGCCTGACATTTGTGCCTAATCTCTCTGACATGCATTGTAGGTATATGCTCCCTGAGTCTCTTGTGCTGCCCGTGCTTTCCATGCTCACTCTACTCTATTTGCTCCCTGTGTTCCTTGGCTTGTGCTCTCCGAAAGTGCTCAGTGTTCCACGTTTGACATACCTGCGTCAGATTGACTTCCGCTGCCTTGTTTTTCTTGAGCTTACATTGTGCTCTGTATGCTCCTTGTTTCCTTGTGTTCCGTGTGCTCCATGTGCTCATTGTGCTCTCCTTCCTGTGTTCTACACCTGCCATCAATTCGATGTGGTCTGCCCTGTCGAATGTGTTTCATGTGCTCCCCGTTCTCAGGGTATTTCATGTGCGCCCTGTGCTCTAAAAGCTTCCAGTGCTCACTGTGCTCTCTGTCCTGTGCTCCACAGATGCCGTCGATGCGCTGCGGCCTGCCGTTCTGGACGTGCTCCATGTCGGCCGTTTATTTGGTCGTGCTCAGCGCGCTGTTCCTCAACTTCTACCGCCAGTCGTATGGGGGCCCGGCGGCCGCCTGTGGGGCCATCCACCCGCCGCAGCCCGTCACCACCCCCACTGACGTCACACCCCCTGCTTACGTCACCGAAAAGCCCAAGACCGAGCCGGCACCGGCCCCGCTGCCGGCCCCCGAACTGGAGAAACCCGCCGAAAAGTCGCTCTCGGATTATCGTGTGGGCACTCTGAACCACTTTGTGCGAGCGATGATGTCCCATGGCTTCGGATGTTTCATCAAGGAGGACTGAAGAGATTGAGAAGTCCTTTGCGAAAGTTTTCGTCGTCTTCGTTTTCAACATCCGAGCGATAGAGACGCCGATAAAATGACCTAGTGGAAAAGATCTCCACGAAGCAGCTTTGGTGAAAGTGGAACCTGGTGCGAGCGCCGAGCAGTGAATCGTGAAACGAGAGTTTCAGTACAGCGCGAATATCACCATTCTCGTTGGTGAGGCAGGCTTCAGGCTCCTGTTTTATTCAGAATCAGAAGTGGTGTAAATAATAGGAATAAGGTGAAAACGAGCTCAGTGGTGACATCACGCGAAGGATAGCAAATAGTGACCTTAATGCTGCTCGGCACGGGCACGCTGGGCACGCTGGGTCCCAACCACTTCTTTGGCAAGCGCGGTGACACTGACATTGAACCGTCAGACTGCTTCGACGACTTGAGTCGTATGTACTTACAGTGTGAATGGCGCCACGCTTTGTAATATTTGTGGCAAAAACGCATGCTGTTTACTTGATGTCTACTAGCTTTTACTTTAAGAACCTTTCCAACAACTTTGTGATAGGAAAGATGGGGACTTTGTACATTTTTTTGCAAAGCAGTTTCAATGCAGTTGATATTTTTTTCCGGTTCTGCGATCCTGTTTTATGCCTGTTTATCTTTACGACCTCCTACCTGTTCTATCATTCCAAATCTCTTAAATTGTAAGTGCCAGGACACAAAGCTGTGCTTGATCGCATGATCTCGTGTAAATATGACGGTAATATTGTGTCGGCCGCCGTGACGAAATCGCACGTACTGTGTGCTGTAGCAGCGAAATTGGATTGGCTTCCAATCAAGGCCGTGATGGCGTATGTGCCGCGTGTTATTCCGGCGAAATAGTGAACTCTGCAGAGATATCGCGGACGAGTTAGCGGTGATTTCGCTAATACTTTCGCGACGATATCGCTGAAACTTTCAAGAGCGACAACATCCCGAGACCTTCACTGGCGAGCGTGGATACTTCGAATCACGGACGATATCGCGAATAATTAAGTGACGGTGTTACGGACGCTTTGGTGATGATATGCTGTGTATTATAATGGTGATGTTACGTGTACTTTGTGACGATTTCGCACGTTCCGCGGACTGAAGCACCGTATAGTCGTGAGTAGTGTAGTGACGAAATCGTGGATGGGCGACGATACCAGCTGTGGAGCTGACCACATTCCAAGAGAGAAATCTGCCGGAAAGGTGGGTAATAAAGCAATCCGCACTGGATCGAGTGACAATTATGCTGTAGAACAAGACACTAGGGCATACTCTAGTTCGTGGTCGGCACATTTCAGGCATGGAATGGGGAATAGCATAGTTGTCAAAACTGCCATGTTGTATGAGGTTGTGAAAAGTCATAGCTGTAGACGACTTCATTGGAGCTCGGACAAGTGATAGTTACATTGTGCGTTACTTCGCAATCAAATGTATACGGTGGCGTGTCCATTCACAGTCGTAGTAATAAAGTGAGAGCAGCTCACATGCCGGAGCAATTTTGGAAGTTATTTATTCTCTCTCAAACCCACCTAGAGGTTGTCTAACTATGTTAACTAATGCAATTTTAAATTCTTTCAAGCAAAGTTCAGAAACATAAAACATAAAACTGGTAGTATCGGTAGTTGCCCGAATGCGTCAACCACAAAAAGAAATGCATGGACCTTGTCAGCCATAAAACGATTCCCAAACAAGTCTGGGCTGTTGCGCTGCTGCTCACTGTAGAACGTTATATAAGAGAATAATCCGCCTACAACGCTGCCGAAGGTCGGCCTGAAAACTCCAGAGCGTGGGATTTAGTTAAATATTAGCCGTTATTAGGAAACGCGCAGCACTTATGTGTGCGTGTCTGGAATCTGATTACCTTGCCGCTCAGCACCTTATGAGTGTCGAGATGATGGTTCTCAAAATTTCGTCACGCTCTCTTCTGAATTCCTCTTTCGGAACGCATCTGTTTGAGATGTGCGGGCTCGTGCTGGGCACGTGAATTGAGCTCATATATGACGCCACGCAAGTAGGAATGCCTTAGATGCCACGGCTAAAATAGACGTTATGGCGGCACAGATGTGACATGATTGGGCAGAAATCTATTGAGGATGAGGACAAAGCCAATAATTCATTTGAATGCAATAGCTATGCGCTCTTGTCTTACCAATAGCTCCATGCAGTCAGCCTCAGAAATGGTCACGCTTCTGGTTGGTGCTAAATTGGTATGTCTAACTAGAAGCATGCCTGGCATGAAGATGAGCTTGTCGATGCAATCAATAAATTTTAATTGAACAGCAACGCGTTTCTATGTAATGAGATATTCAATTTTGTATACTACCTATTTACTGCTGCTGCTCTTATAACCTGATCATTCTGGTATATAGATATATTCAATCATAAAATATCGGTGATGAATCCTGGTAGATAGGAACACACATACAAGGCAACGATCTATTTTTGGGGACATTTGTTGTAAATATTATGTCATTGTAACGATTGGATGCAATATCTGGCCTAAAAGGTAGCCAAGCCAATATGTCTTGCATTTGAATTTCGAGGAATGTTGTTTTAACTGACTGTGGCATCAAGAAAACTGTCATCTCATCTCATCAGCCTATTCAGTCGGACACCATTGCCTTGAGCAGTCGAGAAATATGCTAGGATTGCTAGGTGAGCTGCGCAAAGTTCATGGCCTATTGATCAATAAATGTCTAATAATATGGCAATGATGCGTTTCGCAGTAAGCTGCTCAAACATTCGGAGGCTGCTCCGATAAAATACCGGGTGATCATTTGTAAATGAGATAAAGTTTGCTTGTCACGTGGATATAAAACGGCACGTGCGCGAAATTTCAAGCGCTGTTACTTGACACACATGTTGGGACATTTTATTTTTCACACGGGTTTTAGGGCTGTCTCAGCTTATGGACCCGCCATGCCGTCCACTCCCATGAGCCCTGAACGGCGGTTCCAGAGTAATTCGCCATTTACCAAGGACCAGTCCACTTGGGTGATTTTGCAGTCAGATAAACTGGAAACCTTGAGCGCTGTAAGGAGGGCATTCCGGCTGAAGTTTTTCCCTAAGAATCCCAAGCAAGTTCCAAAACTGGAAGCATTCCGCCGCATCATCAAACGATTCAAGGACTCTGGATCAGTGAGACCCATTGTCTCGCCAGGACGACTTTCTCCAACCACTGAAGAGGTAAAGAAAGTCGAGGATTTCTTCAAGGAGCGTCCTCAGGCTCACGTCCAGGGCTGGAAAAAGTGTTTCGGTGGTTGTCGTCCAAAGAAAAACGGGCTTATTTGGTTGTCAACTCAAGATGTCTAACCCGCGCCCCGCTGAGGGTCCTTGATTTCCACGCCCTGCTCAGGAGGGGGGGGGGGTCAAACACCCCGCCCTTTTAACCCTCGCCCGCACATGCCATTTTCCCATCCTAGAACGCACATTGGGGGGGTGGTGGTTGCCACCCCCCCCCCGCGCCATTTCGTTCCTGTTGGAGATAGAGCTTAGCAGTAAAGACCAAAAAGATTCTTTGGGAAGAAAAGAATCCAATGATCCCCAGTTTTACCTTCTCAGGTCAGTCATTGACCTTCCAGGTCAGGTCAAACTAAAAAATGTTGCTATTTTGGGTCACCGTTGGATATCAAGTGCGCTGCTTATCTAATACCGATGACGATGCTGTTTTCTGGTGCCAAGCCAGCTAGAACCTCTTTGTCACACTATCCGACCAGAATTTTGCTGCTGAGGTCATTTCAGGTCAAGTTAGGTCAAGGTCAATTATATGTGTTTGTATGTCTGTGTGTGTCTGTGTGTATACTGATGTGTGCACCGATTGTTTTTGGGTCCATATCACATGAAATCATGATCTGAGAAGCTTTTACCAAAAATGCAGTCAAAAAACTTCACAAAAAGTAAATTCAGCTTGCCTAAAACGCAATTATCTTAGATGACCTAGGTTGACCTTGACCCTGACCTTGACCCCTGTATATCGTCGAACAACATGTTCCATGATAGGTTGGAGGTAAGACTGGCAAAAAAGGCCGAAATCAGGGTGTCAAAAGCTCACAAGGCCCATGGCAAACGCAAGATGTTGAGAATTGGCCATTTGGGTCATGACATGACCTGAAAAACAAGGTCATATCTCCGAAACCAAAAATCACAGAAACTTGAAATTTTCAGTGGACATCAAGAAAGGATAGACGAGCAGCTATACGAAAAATCTAGCTCTAAAAATGTTGAGTGCAGAGCAGAAAGACTGCCTGGGGGGGTGGCAACCCCCCCCCCCCATGTGCGGGCGAGGGTTAACTCGGATCCTGGGTCACGTAGTGACAAGCAGGAAACGGCATTCGAAAGAACGTCCAAAAATAAGGGCGAAAATATGACATTCGTTTTGTAGGCTAAGTCAAAGGTCAGGTCACCAGAGGTCATTAAATGAAAGATATTGCCTTTCAATATTTTTTCAAAACCCGCGCACAACTCGGGAACCAATTATATATAACCAATTATATAGTACAGCGCCGCGGAAAAGAATAGATACTGCCCTTTTGACCCTTTCGGTGACCCTTCGACGGTGACACTGGTCAACTTCCACTCACCTTTGAACAAAACGTGCTCAAGTTGGTACACTTCAGTCGTTCAGACGCCACGGACCCTGCGTGCGAATATATTATAATTCCGCTCCTTTTTGATAGCGCAGAGCGCTCAGCCGTCAGGCTCAATTGTCCGACGATCCGTGTTCCTCGACCTTGGAAGTCCCGAGACACTATATCCCCGTGGGCATGTCATGGCGTGCCCTCCCCTCGGCCTCATCAGAACATTACCGGCATTGACACGGTCCCACTCAAGATGTCCCGCCGCGGACCTACCCCCAGGCGCCACCGGGGTGGGTTTTGACGTCACAAAAGGAGCCCCGGCGGATTGGAGGGGACGCTAACTGGCCGCCGGCCGGGGGCGGCGCTGAAGGGTGCGGGCAGGGGCCGGCCGAGTCCTGGAATGTACTAGATTTGCCAGACACGTGTTGCCAGCGGACAACCACGGCGACCACTTGGTATGCCATTGGTCGTCTTTATGAGGGTCACCGATCGGCCGTCCGAACGATGGTCGAACGACGCAGTATATACTAAATAGCTACGGGGAGCTGGAATATGTCTGTAGCTACCAGGAAATTTTCCACTGGGATGCCGCCGCGTACGGGAGGTAACGGACTCGAGAACTGCGAGTCGATGTGATGGGGAGGGACAGAGAATGGTTTGCGTGGGCAGAGGTGATTGGGTTGCGTGGGCAGAGGCGGATGGATTGTGCGCTTCTAACCGCACTAAGCGGAAGGAGTTAATCAGTTCAGGCGCTGCGCGTGGTCGCCATAAGATCGCCTCCTCGGTTGTCGTCGACAACGACAAAACGATACAATATTTCACCCCTGCTCACGTCCGGCTGGCCGCCGAACATCTGGGGATGTCGTTCGGCAAGGTGTGGAAGATTTTGCGGAAGAACCTCAAGTGGCGGCCATACCGGCCGCGTCTGGTGACGGCCCTCAGCCCCGCAAACAAACTGGCCAGGATGGACTCCTGTGAATTCTGGCTAACCCATGATGAGGAGTGGTTTGAGCGTGTACTCTGGAGTGACGAAAAGTGGTTTGGTCTGCATCCGTCTCCAAACAAGAAGAACACCGTGTGCTGGTCGCCAGAGAATCCGAACAAGCTCGTGCCATGCCTGAAGGCCCAGGGGCAAAAGGTGATGGCGTGGGTGGGCGTGGTGGATGGGAAGTGCCTGCCAGTTCACTGGTTCACTGGCTCCGTCAACAGCGACGCCTACCTGGAGATGCTGCAGACGGTGGTGTGGCCTGCGGTGAGGGCTCGGGCGACGCGCCACCAGTACTGGTTCCAGCAGGACGGCGCGCCGCCGCACGTCACTGCTCCCGTGATGGACTTCCTCCACTCGAAGTTCGGCGGCCGCGTCATCTCCCGGAACAGTGAACACCGATGGCCGCCGTACAGTCCCGACCTGTCTTGTCTGGACTTTTGTTTCTGGCCATTGGTGACGGCTCAGATCGTGCGCAGCGAGCCCCAAACGCTGGCACAGCTGAAGGAACTGGTTGAGGACTTCGCCCGCAACATGGACGAAGAGCAGCTGCGAAAGATGGCGCGTCACACACGCCGTCGGGCTGAGCTGTGCCGCTCAGAAGGGGGTGGCCACTTTGAGCACCTGCTGTAGATGAACAGTGGCTTGCAGGTGTATAATAGTGTGCAGTACAAAATGTCCCACGATGACGAGTCTAATGACGTGTCTGTTGTCTGGTGTGCTATTGAATACACATCTGCACGTGCCACTTACTTTATCTCATTCCCAAATGATCACCCGGTATTTGGATATTATGCCAGGCACCAGACAGACCGGTAATAAATCATTATGCATATTTCATCGATCCCGGATCCTGCATACATATTCAAAACAACAGTGAAAGACCGAAACATACATTTCAAACTCTGCTTCCAAGCGA